GAGGATTTGAAAACTAATGCAAAAAAATATTAAAGTTTGTTAAATGTCAATTGAAAAACGAATAAAAGAATGCAGATAATGACACACAAATCATCCTTACCGATTCAGCTTTTAACTCATCTAAACATTTTTCATCGGATTTAGCAAGTAATGCGGCAACTCCGCCTCTCGGCTTTATCAAAAAGAAAAATAATTAATTAAACATTAATAATACAAAAACCATTATTATGTTTATGATATTTACCTTGAGTCGTTTCTCATTTGAAAAATTTTCAAATTCCGATTTGACGCTCTCATGTTCTCCTGTACATAAAAGCCATATTTCCGAAGATTTCTGATTTTGTTCATTAGTTCTTTCGATCTCTAATTTATATGTTTGCTCCTGAACAATTACACTTTTACGAATATCGCGAATTGTTTCTGACATATTATTAATCTGCGTCTGCCATATCATTTGAGGAGCTTGTCCGTTTTCGTCGATACGATACATACTGCATGATTCTATGTTTCTTAAGAAGAGCATCTCTTTACTACCCTGGACATTACTAAATAGATTTACGATCTCATTAATATCTATAACTCGATTTGAAATGTCACTCATTTCCGCCAATTTTGGGGTTCTAAGTGGAAGTCTAAATAATGTCCCTTTGAATTCTTTTGTAAAACTGCAATCTTTTATAAAATCACAACCTTCTAATGCTTTGTAAGGAAAGCATTGATCTGGAATCCTTTTTTTAAATTCCTTTTCAATAAAATTAAATCGAGTACCTCTATGCTTTTTAGTTGGAAGAAATTTAGCATTTGGATCTAAAAATGCAATATATTTTCCACTTACAATGCTTGGTAAATCTGTAACATGGAAAGAACTATTGAATCCTATTCCAAATCTTCCAATTTTGGTGTTATCATGAGATTTCCCTCCAACTCCGAGTTTAATCAAAGCCATAAAGTCATGGTCAGAAAATTCGGCATCATTGTATATCCATATCGACGGACCTTGCCAATCATCCATCTCATCTGACAGTAAAGTTTTTTTGGAACAATCATGCTGTAATTTTGGACGTTTATCTATTATTATTGAAAACCGTTTGGCCTTGGCATCATCTGCGTTCTAACATTTGGAGAGAGATCATGAATGATTTTTCAGATGTCAATATCCATATTCCATAAATTTCATTTACTTACTTGAAGAAATTCTATAAACAGTTTTTCTAACGGGTAGTCCTAATGATAGCATATCGAAACAGATTAATCCATGATACGAGAATGAAACATTAAAAATCCAGTAATTACCTTAATAATATTTTTTATTCTGGTAGTCAATGATTCATCCTGCTCATAAATATCCCAATTAATATCATCGGATCCATGGCCTAAGTGAATGCAGGATTTAGTAAAACCCTAAGATATAAAAAAGCTTATACATTCTAGAATAATAAAGTTACCATATATTTTCCCTGTTAAGGTTTCAATTCCTAATTCTTTAACAACCTCTCGAGTTATAAGTTGATGAGCGATTTGATATTTGGACTTCTCTCTTTCGTCAATTCGATCTTTCATGTCATCATACTGAATTTCATCATAATTTACAAGTTTATTTTTGGTGCTCGGAACTAATAATCCATCCAATTTCTCCAAATACTTTCGTCCTTCCCTGGCATCTTGTTGTATCGTTGCGATCTGCTCAAGAATTTGGACGATGTCCTCTATTTCGTCCGTTGATAATTCTCTATCCAAATTTCCCTTTGACTTGTTTGTAATAATCAAAATAAAATCTTTGACTCCGATCACATCTCGAACCCCCATCGCTTTAAAAAAAGGCTCAAGTTTATTTGGATATTCTGCGGGAAATTCAACGATTAAGAAATCATTGCTATTTAAATTACTTTGATGAGGAAGTTTAAAGACAATTTGATCGGCGCAATAAAATGTTTTCCCACACAAAATCCACGGTTTATTTTCCAAAGATTCCTTCACAAGTTCAAATACTCCATCGCTTGCTCGAAACATTTTATTCATATATTCGTAAATCGCGTTGCAAACCTCTTTAAAGTTTGGTGGTCGCTTACTGGGTGTACAATCGTAGCACAACTCCAACTGTTTTAGAACCTTTGTCGCTTCAGGATACGTGTTCCATTTCAAAAGGCTCGAGAATTCCTCATTCTTGGCGTTAAACTCAAATATTGGAGCGACAAAACAAACCAAATAT